TCCCTGGGGGTCTCGGGGTTCAAACCCAGGCTGGGCCCAGAGTCTCCGAGCCAGGCTGCACCTCAGGACACCTGGCACCCAGGAAGAAGGGGGCTCCCAGGGGCCCCGATCCTCCTGGGGTCTGACTGTTCCCCACGAAAGCCGTGCGGAGTCCTGGCTGCCCAGCGCCAGTCCGGGGATCACAGCCGGAGGAGGGAGGGAGGGACGACACCCGTAGGGGCCCGGGGCAGGAGCTAAGGCTCGCTGAGTCCCGCTGAGGGTGAGGATCCCATCGTAATGTAGAAGGGGACACCCCACCCTGCGTCTGTGCTGGCCCCAGCCACAGCCTGCGTCAGGGTCTGGGAGGGGGATACTAAATCCCTCAGCCACGGGTACCCCAGGTGGGGCTTCTGGGGAGGACCTGGGGTGGGTGTTTCGGCCCAGCCCATCAGCACAGGCTGACGCCCACTGGGCCTGAGGGCCCCAGCGTCAGCAGACACCTCTAGCTGAGTGTGAAGCTGCAAAGCATGCTATGGAGTTTATGGGACAGTGTTGGGGACAGAGATGAAAGTCCTCTCAAGGAAGAACCCAGGAGGCTTTGATGGTGGTGGTGGGGCTTAGGCAGAGCCTTCTTGGTGAGGGCGTGACAGGCAGAGAGGGGAGAGTGCTCAGGGGAACTCACAGCCCGAGCAAAGGCCCTGGGGCAGGAAGGGGCTTCTGGGGCTGGAGTAATCGGTTCTAGCAGATGGGACAGAGAGAGTGGGACCACAGAGGCCCCCAGAAGGGGAGACCTTGCAAGGCCCTGAGGACAGACAGACGAACCAGGTTTCCAGACCCTGCGGGCATCAAGTGAGCCATGGAAGTTCATCCATTACTCACTGGAGAGAGTTGCACTGAGTCTTCCCTGGGGGTGCTCCAGCCTGAGCAGCAGCAGAGGGCCAACAAGATGCTGCCCTGTGTAGCTGCAGGTATCACAGCAGGAGAAAGAGGGTATCAGGATGACTGCAGACTGTGCCATGTCCAGCAGCTCGGCAGAGGGCAGCAGTGGGCGGGAGGGTTTCTCTGAAAGGATACTGAGCTGAGATCTGACTGTAAGCCACAGTGGTGGAGGACGAGGGTGGACAGAGCACGTGCAAAGGCCCTGGGGTGGAGGGAGGCCGAGGGGCCTACTTTGGTCCTGTGCCATGGGCCGACCTCATGGGCTGTCAAATTCTTGGCCCCACGTTGGCCTGGGCAGACGCAATGGTGTCTGGGACTTTGGTGGGCAAATAGGCTCCATCTTGCAGAGGGATGGAGGGAGACAGACAGACAGACAGACAGGTGGCCAGGCACACAGGTCCAGGGCTGAACAGCACACCCAGGGTCAGCGAGGGGAGGGCATGACCCCGTGGGCATTGGGGCCTCAGAGAACAGAGGGACCCCCTGGACCCGGCAGGGATGGTCACGTCTCGGCCACGCAAATGGGTGAGGAGACACATGTGCAGAGGGACCATTCGGAAGATGCTGACTTGGAGTGGGGTTCCACAGCCTGGGGCGACCTGGGCGCGGCCATCCTGGCCCCCACCTCTCAGCCCGCTGAATGCCAAGCCTGGGCTCAACGCGCAAAGAAAGGTCAGGGGCGCCACCTGGTGGTGAGAGCCTCGGCTGCGGCCGTGTCAGTCCAGGCTGGGGTCCCCGTGTCCAGGGGCGGGGAGGCTGGTGCCCCGCGACGCCGCTGTATTCGCAGATGTTCATACTCCTCCAGTTCACACGCGTAGCTGTGAGACGGCGCAGACACCCAAGACAGAGCCTCAGGAGGGCAGCTGGCAGCAATGTCGCACCCCGAGCCAGCCTCCTCCTCCCCGTGGGTACCCATTTCCTTGTAGACTTCTCTCCCGCACCCACTTTGTAATCGGAAGTGATTCGCACCCCACAGGGAGGCTCACGCCTGCCGGGCTGGCTCCCCCGCGCCCGGGGCGGGATCTGGGTCAGGGGAGCCTCCGAGTGCATGCGAGCGGCGCTGGCGTCCTCGGGGGTGGCCGGCGCAGCCCGGGGGCAGAGCTCAGCTGCCGCGCTTGCCGGGGGAAAGTGAGTTTTTCAGAATCTTCTGCTCCTCTTCCTGCTGCCCTGGAGGAAGACTGGAACTTCAAAGCCCGCCTCGGTGACCGGGTCCCCCGAGGATGCTTGCTAACTGCCGCAGGGCCCCAAATGGACAGGCGCTGGCTGGTCCTCGTCACCGGTGGAAGGGCTCAGGACGCCTCCTCAGGAGTCCTGCAGGGACTGACCGACGGACACCAGCCCACAGTACCTCAGTCTCTCGCTACTGTGAGGCCTCGGCTGCGGGAACCGGGAGGTCCACCCCGGCCGCTGCTCCGGGCCCTCCGATGATCTCATGGAAGCCCTTGCTCTGCAGACGCGTGAACTAATGTTCCACACCTGGCAGGTAGCTGAGGCCATTCACACAGTGCTTCTTTCTGGCGTGTCAGTGACCCTGCGGCCTCTGGGCTGGAGGGCGGAGGTGACTCGGGAGTGTGGCTGTGATGCTGTGTGCGGGGTGTCCGGAGGTTGCTGCCCCTTCTGGAGGCACCTGCCGGCCTGGAGCTGGGCTGTCCGGATGGCGGTCACTCAGGGCCTGGGTGTGAGTGCTGCCGCCCGCGGGCCTGCACCGGCAACCGGGGTGGGGGCTTCTGCTGACTGTCAGACTAACTGGGCGTGCTGAGCTGGAGCCGGGGAGGAGCAGGGCTCCTGGGAGGGCAGGGAGGGACTCAGATGAGGTCACTGGGCAGGGGGCAGAGGTCCCCGCACCACTGACAGGGCCGATTCAATGAGCAGACACTCGCTCTAACAGGGGGGTGGCGACCGTCCTCTTGTACCCGTGTACCTAGGGGACCTGGACACTGCCCAAGGTCATGCACTGGAAGGGGGGGCTCTGAGCTGGGAGCCTAAGAGACCCCAAGTTTGTCCTCTGTGGCACTGTGTAGGCCTGGGGTGTCCCCCTGTGGGGGAGCCAGTGTGGGCATTTGGGGTCCAGACAGCGTGTTATCACAGGCGGCGGCCCCCTCTCCACCTCCTGCACCGCCCAGCCGGGAGGTGTTTCCCAAACCGGCTGCACTTTGTGTGTTTATTTATTGGAGGCCACCGCGGCTGTCTGCTCTCCGGCCCAGGCTTAATCCCTGCTGGGCTTTCCCCTGGTTGCGTGGCTTCCGTGCTCCCAGAATGGGGTGAGAATCCCTTTCTCTCCGACTGGTGGAAGTGCTGAACTTAGCGACTATAGGATCCTGAGGAGGGGTAAGGGGTGCAGGGGTGCAGGGCCAGGCTGCAGGGAAGTCTGAGGTCTGAGGTCCCTGGGGGAAGAAAGGCAGCCTTTTTAGGGTGCTGGGTTTGGACTCTGCGGAACTTTGGGGCACTGGCGTCAGCTGGAAACGGACCCCTAGGAAGGCAGTGCAGGCGCTTAGCTGGGCTCTGTGGGCCCTCCGGGCGCCGTACCCAGCCCAGAGCCGGAATCTCCGGTCCAGATCTGTCTGCTGGTGAGTGCGGGCCGGGATCACTGGGTCAGACCCCAAGGCTGACAGCTCAGCCTGGCGGGCAGCGGCCTGGCGGGCCGTGGCCAGCAGGGGGCGCGCGGACCAAGGCTATGAATGCGGGAGCCGGGCGGCGACACTGGCGGAGAACGGCCAGAGGGTGGCGCCCGGCCAGCGGCGCCCGCATGAGGCTACTGCAGTCGCTCCGAGCCGCCTGCCGTGTGCCCTGCTGGGGCCGCCAGACCTCCGGAGCACTGGGGAGGCATTAGCAAGACCCCTGCGCGGGCAGCACCGGAGGCTGCGGTCACTGGGGGCCCCCAGCCGAGATCGCGAAGCGGGGAGCTGAGTCAGAGGTGCCGACTTCGGTGTTACCCGCAGGTCACACGCGCCTGGCTCCGGGGTCCCCTCCCTCCCACTTCACGGGGTTCGCTGCCGTCGGAAGTGTGCAGAGAGGGTGCTTCGGGGGCAGGTGCCCGGGGCATCCAGATGCTGGTACCGGGAGGCTGGATGGACGTCCCCGCCCCTCCTGGTACCCTCGTCCCATCCCCTGAGGCTGTGGGCCTGGGGTGACAAGTCCTGGACTTGCGATTATGGGCGTCCAGCGCAATGACAAAGCGGCCTAAGGAGGCGGAGGGACGGCCACAGCCCCGAATGGGCTGCTGGGGGTGGGGGCCACACAGGCGGGGCGGCAGGGCCGGGCTCCAGACCCCGGGAGAGGGCCCAAGGGGGCTTCAGAGATCCCTGTGTGTAGCACGTCCTCAAACACGCGGCTGGGCCAGATGGGTACAGCCAATGACTCACTGGAGAAGATGGATCCCGGGGCAGTGCAGAGCCGCTTTTGGCTGTTGTTTTGGTTGTTTGTTTCTTTCGGTTTTTGAGCCATTCCTGAGCTCCACTGGTTGTAAGAGCCAGAGGGAGACAGCTGGGGGCAGGGAGACAGACAAGTAAAAAGCCACCAAAAAGAAAACCTGAAAAAAAAAGTACTAATTTTTTATTTTAATTCAAAACTGCCAGTAGGGTTGCAGATTTTTTTCTTTTTGCTTTTCTTTCTTTCTTTCTTTTTTTTTTTTTTTGAAACAGGGTCTCTCTGCATAGTTCAAGCTGGGCTTAAACTCAGCGTATAGCCCAGGCTGGCGTTGAACTTGCAGCAGTCCTCCTGCCTCAGCCTCCCAAGTGCTGGGATTACAGCCATGCATCACCCCACCTGGCTCAGATCTGCAGCTTTTAGCAAATGCCTACACATAGTTTTAAAAATTTTGGTTTCATTTTTTTTCCTCTTGAACTCCCATCCCACACTCAAGCAGCCTCCAATCCCAGAGCAGACGGCCCCTTCCCACCTCCCTGGGGAAGGTCCTTTCCCACAGGTCCCCTTGGATGAGGACAGAGCACTGCTGTCTCTTCCCAAGAGCCACATGGAAGGGACATCTTTTTTTTGTTGTTGTTGTTGTTTTGTTTTTGTTTTTCTCTGGTACTGGGAATCAAACTCACGACCTTGCTCTTGCCAGGCAAGGCGCTGTGCCCCTGAGCTAAATCCCCAGCCCCAAAGGACATCTTTGAGCTGTTTCCTTAGAAAACATTCCTATCCACACACTCTGGGAGGAAAGTGGCCAGGGCCCTGGAGCTACTACAGAGCCATCGCAGACCTCTGAGCTCTGCCACTTTTTTGGCGGGGGGTGATGTGACCATTTCTCTTTCATCTCTGAAGTCCTTCAGAATCTTTATCTCTGGATGAAAGGTCTGTTATGGCTGTGTCCAGATGTTCCCCCGAAGCCTCATGGACTCATAGGTGGGGCTTTTCGGAGGGGGCTGGATCTGGAGTGTGTGATGCTAGGATCAAGGGGGTGTGATTGCTAAATTGGTCCACTGGCTGGCTTGGCATAGTTCTGGGAAGGATTAAGGGCGCCCTGCTCTGGGTGTGAGTGCTACCTGTCCTGAGGGTGTGTAGCCTGGATAAGATATGAGGGATAGAAAGACGGTCACTGGGGGCTTGTTGCTCCTCATTTGTAGCTTGCTGCCTTCTGCCCGCCATGAACTGTTTCTCCTCTGCGATGCCCCTCTACCAAGAGGCCCCGCGTTGGAGCCAGTTGATGATGGACTGAAACGTCTACAAACTGTGAGCTGGATAAACCTTTCCTCCCCTAACATGTGGGTGTTGGGTATTTCCTCTCAGCAGTGAGAAAGTGGCTAAGACAGTCTTTCAGAGAGACGGAGAAAAGAAACCCTGGAGATTGGGCTTAAGCCCCTGGGCCAAGCCATTGCTGAACCTAGGAATCTTTTGATTTTCCCATTGTGTAAGCAAATAAATTCCTCTTTTGGTTAAGCTTGGGTGAGCTAGGTTTTGTCACGTGAAGCCAAGATGCTCTTTTTCAGCCCTGGATTCTTTTTCCTGCTCTGAACTTCCCGTCTCACCTGGCTGCTGAAACCACGGGCGAGGAGTTCTTCGGGGGCTCCCCTGGCAGGAGGGGAGTAGCTTCGAGGAGACATCAGAAGTACGTTTGTGAGCGGGTCACAGTGGTCTAGAAAATCATTCCCAACTCGTGGAACAAGTCCTGCCCACTCCCAGCCTTTAGGGGCTGCAAGTTCAGTTTGCGGGCAGCGTCCAGGGGGCGGAGCAGGGAGCAGGTGAGCCAACGAGAGCACAGGGCTGGGGACAGGGACTCAGTCATTCTGTGCTTGTAATGGTGACCACTGATTTCCTTCCCAGAGAGACTCCACTGACCTCCACCTCCAGCCTCCGTGAACCGCCAGTGATGCTTTGGCAGCACGGTCAGGACAAATTAGTTACGCAGAGGGGGGAAATCTCGCCCGCAAGTCAGTGTGCGGGTTTGGGCTGGGGTGGGAGTAGCAGATGGCTTCCCTGTGGACCTGGGCAGCCACGGACCTTGGAAGCAGACACTGGCTGCTGGCTCAGGGCAGAAGGAGACCATCCCGGAAGCAATGAGCTAAGCTGGTTCAAGCCCTGGGGCTTGTGGCTTAATAGTTGCAAACTGGACGTTCCTCAAGGACACGATCTGGAGGCTGCAGCTTGCCACAGTGGCTGAGGTGATTTTGTCCTGGTAGGGCCAGCCGATTCCAGCCTAGGGGACAGGATCCCGTCTCTCACAGGGACCCTGACCGCCTTGCTCACTGCCCAGACCCGCTCAGTTCTCCCGGGACCGGGCGGGCTCACACACCCGGTGCTTGTGCAGGTGGCCAGACCTCTCTTTCAGCCGTGCCCTCGGTGCTGTGTTTCTCTGAATGAGTCATCGCTTCCTAACCTTCATGCCTGGCCAGGGTCTAGCTCTGCCTGGGGCACACTCCTATCCCCCACCACTCCCTCCACCTGGTCTATGGTTTTCTGCTCCCCGGGAAGCTTCCTGGGCCCCCAGCTTCTGTTCTGCACTCTCACAAGCCCGTGGTTATTCCTGCCGAGGTCCCAGCACCCAGTGTGTGCCCACCTCCCAGGCCAGGACAGGATTTGGCTTACAGGTCGTGGTCGGTGAGGTGCTCTGTGCAGGCACAGGGGCCCCTGGAAGTGTAGGAGTGAAATGCAGGACCTAAGCCCAGCAAGTTCCCCGTCCAAAGCAGGGAGAGCACGGGGGCTCCTGAGGTTCCTGCTTCCGGCATCTCTTTGCTGTAACTATAGAGAATAATCTATTCCACACTCTAAGCCCATGTGATTGGGGGAGGGAAGTCATGTGACACCAGGTGACCAATCACAGCGCTCCATTGCTCTAGCTGGCTGACCAGCTGGGTGGGGTGGACACATGACCGACGCTGTCCAACATGGCTTTCACTGTGGGGAAAGATGTCCTTCCACTGGACGGCAAACAGTGGCATAGTGGCCTGGAGTGACAGGGGCCATCTTTGCAAACACAGAGGGAAGCAGAGCAGAGGAATGGAGTAAGGCAGAGTTGGGAGACACTGCATGAGCTCCTGGAGCCGGACATTTCTGCGCTCACGTAAGAGAAGAGCCTCTTGTGCTGAAGCAAGTCCCAGCTCCCCGTCATCCACAGCCAAGTAAGTCTTGCTGGATGCAGAGATACACGAACGGCATGGACAGGACAGGGCAGCAAGTGCATGTTTGGTGGGGGGAGCACTGCGCCCGGGGCCCTCCTATTCGCCCCATTCTAGCCTCTTTCTCCTGAGTCCAGCCTGAAGCTGTGCACGAGTTCCCCTGCCCTCAGGGGCAGGCAGGAGGCACCAGGCTGGACTGGGAGCTCTGATTTCTTCCCATAAGCCATGTCTCAGCGGAGCCCTGCAAGCTGAGTGTTAGGGATCTAAGGAGGGAGGAGGAGGGGAGAGAGAGAGCGTGGGCTCTGGGAAACCAAAGTCTGTGTGGGCCTGGCTTCAGCACTGCGGGGACCCCTTGGCTCTTCTAGCGGGCAGCTGCAAGGAGAGCTCTTGCTTCATAAATGCCTGGAATCAAGAGCTCAGAACGTGTCTCAGGACTCCCCTCTAAAGAGCGAACCGAGATGCTGATCAACCCGTGTGGGCATCTGCCACGGAGACCCTCCCAGTCAGATAGGAAAGGGTTAGGTGCCTGTCCCTGCCCAGACAAACGTTAGTCCCAGGGGACATGGCTCCTGGTGCCAGAGCTTCCAGCTCCCGTGGAGTCCAGCAGTGTGCAGGAAAGGCCCACACTGAGGGGTTCGTGTGGCACGGAGAGGACTGGGGCAGTGTATGTGTGCACAAGGCAGGGAACATAGTCCCTGCTCCACGGTGGCCTGCCAGGCAGACTACTACCTTCCCGTACCTTTTATTTTCTTCCAGTCGCCCCCCCTCAAGTATCCCTGCCCTGTCCCCAGCCCGCCTCTTGGCTCATGAAATGACTCAGTATCCACACCACTTGTAAGGAAAATCAGCCTCCAGCAGGGGGGCCATACCTGCGGTATAACAGCCTTCCCTGCAGACTGGCCAGGGGAAGTCACCTGAGCCCTGACCTTCACAGAGTGGGGGTGGGGAGGAGGTGGTGGGAGTGAGGTGTGCGTGTGGAGGGTAGGAGGAATTTGCTTCCTGGAAGTTCAGCTATGAAACCTGAGAGAGCCAGGCTGAGGAGAGAACATTCTAGAAAGGTCAGGAGGCTATAGTGGGCTTCAAGGAAGTCAGGTCTTGAGGGAAAGAGACAGCTGATCATTGTCTTGGTCACTGAGGCCGCTGTAGCAAAACCCCTCAGGCTGGGCAATTTATAATTTTCTCACAGTTTAGGGGCCGGAAAGGCCAAGGTGAAGGCACCGGGAGATTCAGTGTCAAAGATGGCGCCTTGTTGCTTTACCCGAGAAAGGGACTGAGACACTTCCTTGGGCCTTCTCCTTGGGCCGTGCCTGAGGGTGTAGCCGTTGGGGCCCGGCGCCTCCGATGAGAGCCCTGTGGCTGTGGGAGCTGAGTTGCAGTGTGGAATGTTCAGACCACGGCAGGCAGCCATGGCGCAGGGTGACCTGGCTGGGTCGCCCGGGAAGGAATGGAGACTTGGTGGACAGGGCTGGCCGAGCCCTTTCGCCACCTCCTCTGAGCACCCCAACAGGTCCCCAAGGCTGCTCGCTGTGTGCATGCCAGCAGACTCACCCTGCGCCAGGCCTGGCCCCAAAGCCCACTCACGTGCCCTGTGATGAGAAGCGGCCGTCACAGCTGAGTCTGGGGTGCAGGAGGCACCACATTCGGATTCCTAGTGTTCGCTCCTAGCACGTCCTCTTGGGGTCCGGCTGGAGGATGGCACTGAATGCCCCTCCCAGCCCTCACCCTCACCCCACCCTCTCCCCTCCCATCGGGGTCCGTCTGCTCAGAGAGTCTGTGCCTTCGCTTCAGGTTTCTCGAGGGTCAGGGTACTCAGCTCGGAGGTGGGCGGAGTGAGGACAGGTGGAGCCTGGCCAAGTTCCGGAGGGAAACTGCCCCTGGATCCTGCGGCTTCAGGGGGAGCCCCTGGGGGGAGAGAAAATGGCACCACTCAGACACGTGAGCTGCTTGCCTTGAATAACCGGGCGCTTTGGCTAACTGGAGACTGAGGCCGCCGTGCCCCGGCTGCATGCGTGCTCGGGGGACTGTCTGGAAGTCCCCGCTCCATGGCCTCTGCCCTCCCACACCTAACCATTGTGGCAGCTTCCTGGTTTGTTTCCAAACTGCCTTCAGTGAAACTTTTAAATTGCACACCGTACACATGGCCCCTGCTTGAAGTCCTCTGGGGCCTCGCCAGCTCACTTCAAATAGGGTGCAGCTTTCTGTCTGGGCTTCCTGACTCCGAAAGACTCGGCACTGGCCAAGGCCTCACCCATCAGACCCACTCCCTCCCGTGCCCCATGCTCCTGTCTGTGACTTAGAACAGGTCGCCCTGCGCCCACTGCAGGGCCCTGGCACTTGCCCTCAGCTCCCCTGCAGTGCTGCTGCTAGGTCTTCAGCGGTTCCTTCTCACCCCCGCCAGCCCCTCCCGGAGCCCCTCACCCCACGGCCTGACCTCAGTGCCTCTTGCCCACCATGGTGCCTGTCCACCCCAAGTGTCGTAGCCCTGGTACCTGTGCCCATCTGCAATCTCCAAGCCATGTCCCCAACACAAGGGACTCCCAGCAGTCCTGGGGGAGTGTTGGAAGCCAGAACAAGGCCTGGCTGTCCTTGTTGTGCTGGGCCACAAGGGGTACAGCCATTGGGACGGGAGGACCCACTTGGCACACTTTGCCCACGGGCTGCCAGTGTCCTATCATACTGACGCGCACACAGGAGCTCAAAGAGTTAACTGACACGTGTTAGGCCCTGTGCCGGGAGGATGCGACCCCCGACACTCTCCCAGCTCTTTGCTGTGGCCCTCCACCGGGCCATGGGGTGGAGACGCACAGGCCCCGTGTGCCCCAGTCCTACCTGCATCTCCCTGCTGCTGCCCTGGCTCAGGCTCCCTCCCGCCGTCTTCTCTGGGTCCTGCAGCCCGACCGCGGCTGGCGGTGCCCGGAGTGACGGTCATCTTGTTACTGTTGCCGATGGCCGCATCCTCAAGGTGGCAGGATTTGATGCGAATTCTCTGGACCATGTCCCCCTCAGGGTCAGGGCCTGGCTTTGGCATTCGGACTTCAAAGGAAGCATCTGCACTGCCAGCAGCAACGGTAGGCGAGACTGCAGGTCAGCCAGAGAAACACCGGTGAGGCGAAAGGGAAGTGCCTGATGCTCCCTGAGAAATTCGCTCATTCTCTGGCTGCCCAACGCCCTCCTTGTGGCCGGGCGCCCATCCCTGCTCAGGCGGGGTTAGCTGTATGTGCAGCCGGCCTCGGTCCTATCCCAGGTGACTGCCCGAAGCCCTCTGCAGCCTCCTCAGCCCCCTGCTGATCCACGAGCACCTGGCACAGGCCTCCTCCCTCGGGTCAGTCTCAGTTCAGTCCGTACACGATTCCCCTTATGCCGCAGCATACTTTAGTCTATTCATGGTTCCCATCTCAAGTGGGATGTGTTGAGCTGGGGCACTAAGAGGCCGCTGGTGTCCAGAGCGGCCAGCAGTAGGGATGGCTAACACTGAGAGTGTTCCTGGCTCTGGGGAGCAGGAACGGCCGCTAACACTGAGAGAGTGGGAAGCTGCCGGCGCTCAACGCTCTGGGCCGTTAGCACGAACAGACCTGCACTTTGCCCATTTGTGATTTCTATTTGCATAGACCAAGGACCCTTGGCCAGGTGGTCACGTGCTGGGACCCACCCCTCTAGAGCATTCCGAAGAAGAGGGTGGACAACAGCGATGGGGTCCGCAGGCTGGAGATCCAGCCCACGTTTGATTTCCACCTTGCGTGCAGTTAAAAACCCATGCTGGCCAGTGACTCCGGGAAGAATGAGCTACTGGACAGTGGCCCAGGGGCCTGGATTTGAGCCTGGTCATCGAGTTCTCCATGGTGGACTTTCATCTGTGTCCACACTGGCTCCATGGACAGCTCAGCAAGGCCGTGCCACCGCCACACCTTTGCACAAGCCATTTGCTCATCTGCAGCCGGTTCCCCCTGCCCTCCAAGTTCAGCAAGTGGACCTGGTCCCCAGTGTCCTCCCTGGGGACACACTGACTCTCTGAAATCCTCCATCAGCTCCTCCCTATCCTGCCACGTTCCTAGAACATGAATAAGCTGTCCACACTCATCCTTGCTGCCTCCTGTTCTCAGACTCCCATCTCACTCCCAGACTAAGTCCACTGTTGACCCCTTGCGGCTACACCCTGCCTCCTTGCTTTCCCCTCCCTGGAGCTGCTTTCCGGGTCCATGCTCTGCTTCTCAGCCCATCTCTGGGTTCCCAATGTCCTGGAAGACTCAGCCAGGGCCTCTGGTCACTTCAGTGCCACTGTGTCAATCAAGTCCTTGGTTCTTAGGTGGCCTTCTGCCCTCCTTCCTCCTCAGACACCATGCCAGGCTGCATGCTGCTTCCCTGGCCCTGCTTCTGTGGGCCAATCTAGGCTTCTCCAAGGAGACATACTCATTTTATGGACTAAGAAACAGGTTTCCTGCAGGGGGCACCAGGGCATGGGTATCCGGGGTCCCCGCTCTAAAATACCCTTCCCATGTTATCCAGCGAAACAGCTTCCTGGCTGAAGACAAGGAATTTCCCATTATGCCTCTCTCTCTGAGGAGATCGGCTCCAGTTCTCTCCTGTAAGGAGCTAAGTGGGGTGACAGGGACAGGTCAGGCCACGATGAAATTCTGGTTTACCTGGAGGGCTGCCAGAGAGGCTGTAGGCTGGGCCTTCAGATGGGACACTGAGAAGCTCCATCTCATTGCCGTGCCCCATCTGCACCCTTCGGAGCAGGGAGTGCTCCATGTGGATGTTCTGGGGTCCCCAGGAGTTACCCCGTGCCACTGGTGAGGGGTGAGGGGTTGCAGCACCTGGAAGGGACACAGCAGCCTGACGCTTTGTGGCCTGAAGAGCAGATGGCACAGGGGACAGCTAGAGTTGGGGTTCCCCAGTTTTCCCCAAATGTGGCTGGTGCTTAGGGTGTGGTTGAGGCAGCTGAGGACCCGAAGAGTGGGCTCGCCTGCCTGCTTGCGGTGGCCTCAAACTTTCTGAGCTCATCAGATGGAAGCCTTTCTCGTCACTAAAATGGCCTTAATGCTCCTCGGCAAGCTCGGTGTCCCCATCATTGTTTTTTTGTTGTGGTTTGTTTTGGTTGTTTTGTCTTTTTGAGACAGGGTTTTACTACGCAGTTCAGGCTGGCCTTGAGCTTACTTTGTAGCCCAGGCTGGTCTCAAACTCCTAGCGATCCACCTGCCTCAGCCTCCTGAGTGCTGGGATTACAGGCATGCGCCACCACACCCAGCTGCCAAAATGGTTTTGTTTTCCTGGCATTATTTTGAGGGCGACCCTCCTGGCTTTTAATTTAAGAGAATGCTAAAAGGGACATTTAAAAATATCTTTGAGCCTAAAAATGGCGAGCCATTTAGCAGCACTAAGTAAATAATCAGACAGGGGCACGGCCGGAATTGGAGAGGTGACTCCAGAGGATTTAAATCGGGAAAGAATAATTCAGGTTCTGGAACAAAGTTCCTCATTTCACAGGTGGGGAAGCAAAGTCCCGGTGTGGGGAAAGTCTCTCCCAAAGTCACAAGGGGTGTTTGTCGTTTGGGCCGAGGCTCTCACACGCAGGTGACAGAGCTGCTCTGAGAGGCGGCCCCAGGTCCTCATGCCACAGTGCCTGGCATGGAGCAAAGGGTCCTTCGCAGTCCGCTATATTTTCTGACCTAAGACACCACCAATGGGGAGATGAGTCCCAGCTTCCAGTGTGTCACAATGTGGGGGGGAGAAATGTGTTCAAAACAGACGAAATATCCCAGCAACCCCTGCTAAGGGAGAGTGAATTGAGTTATTTCTCACAGCAAAATATTCCATGCCACTGAAAATGAGCAAAAGGTATTGGAGGGAAAGGACATCAGGAAAGGTTTGATCCAGGCTTCCTCGTTCTCAGGAAGAATAAAGGAAGCTGTGGAGAAGCTGCCCTTTCTTCTTGGAGGGTCAAATCCCCCCTTCTCCCCAACCTCACCCAGATGGAGCAAGTGCTCCTCAGGGTCCCTTTCGGTGTCTCTCAGACATCTTACCATTCTCCCCTCCTCGCACTATGACATTCCCATGTCCGATCTGCGTGGCTTCGGAGTTTGCAATAGAAATTTGGCTCTGATAGACCATGTTGATTGGATTCTGCTGGTAGATAATTGTGGCTGGCTGGACTTTGAGATGTCTCCTTCCAGAATCTTCTGCAAAATAAAAGCCAACTCTATTCCTTTGAGCCTCTGTTGGGGGGGTGGTGGTCAGGGGCTCCAGGTACCGGCGGGCAGCACCACATTCCCAGGGGACACGCTGGAACACTGATCCTGGGGCAGAGTCGAGAGGTCCAAGATGGGACCCAGGGGCCACATGTGGGGAGGGACTCCAGCCTTCTGCCCCTGTGTGACTGACACACACCTCAGGTGGCTCTGAGGCAGGTCACCTCCCCCAGCACGGCCACCAGGATGAGTCCCCTGGGGAACGGCAGGAGCCTCATGCTCTTTCCTGCCCTCTGTCTCTCTTTGCTGGGAGGAGGCCACAGCCCTGACCGCTGGGCCCCAGGCTCCCTGCGCCTGGAGCGATGGCTGGAGGACGGTGGGCCGCGGTCATGTGAGCTTTGTTTGGCTCACCGGGCGTGTTTACAGCCGCACGCCACCTTCACGGGCCCTGGGCTCTCCTTGGCCCTTCCTCCCGTTAAAAATAAATAAATAAATAACATTTTATGCTTGTACTTGTATGAAGAGGTATTCATTTCTGCTGACTTTTAAAGAAGCTGAGATGGTAACATTTTCGTGGGCCCTTAGAAGTGGCTTGGGTCGTAGGCACTATGCCGCCTACGCTGTGGGTGGCTGGCACTGGGCCGTCTTGCCTTTTTCCGGGCAACTTTGGAACCCCAGCTTGGGCCAAGTGCTCACAGAAAACTGTTAGCAAACCAGGTGGGCCCCCGTACCCTAGAGCTGATGGAGTCTGCAGGGGTCCTCTTCAAGTCCCTGCCTTCTGCATCTGCTCCCTTGGGTGCGGGGAAGCCCCCCTGCAGATCTGGACAGTGCCCCTCCCACCTGGAGCCCCCTTGATGGAGTGTCCGTAAGGCTTCCAGAAGCTTCCAGCAGGTTCTGTGAGGGGGGCAGGCAAAGTGCTCCGCAGAGGATCCAGCACTGGCTGTTTATGGCGTCTCCTCACAGCTCTGCCCTCTACCGGCATGGGTTCAGACAGGGGTGAGCACCCACCTGCTCCAGAGACCTTCCACTCCTTGGACTTCTCGTCGCAGCTCAGAAGGTGACTGCTGCCCATCTTGTACAAGTCCGGGTTCACGTCCTTGGCCGTCCTCATGCCCAGGGCCTTGGCGATGTGCAGGGCCCTGCAGGGCCCGCTGGCTTCCAGGAACCTGTAGATCCTTTCCTCTGGGCACAGGGTGGCCCGGTGGGTGAGCAGGCCCCCGAGTCTGGGTCCCCCCCACTGCTTACTGGCTCTGCAGCCCTCGTGCCCGGTCCCCTGCCTGGCGGACAGGTGCTCTACCCTGGCTGCCGCCCTGACACGCTCAGGGTGTCCTGAGAACCAGGCTGTGTGGAAAGTGCAGGGCGCAGCTTGGGCACACGGAAGGCACAGGAGCGCCAGCTCTTGAGGAAACGATTTCCCAGGCTTTTGGACTCATCTGCTGCGGAGGCCGGGGCTTTCCCCAAGCCCTCTGGGGGGCTTGGCCCTGAACACCTCGTCCCCTCAGGAGGGCGTGGGGGGCAGGGCCCGGGAGCCGAGGGAACAGAGATGCTTACGGAGGTTGCTGAGCCGCGGGCCAGGACTCTCTGAGGCTGCAGCTGGGGCCTGCTGGGGCCTCTGGGCTGAAGGAGAGAGGTGGGCCAGGGTTGGGACAGGAAACTCACCTGGCCACCACCGGGCAAAGGCGGAGAACTCACAGGTACCCGGTGGGGACAGGGCTTTCCACTCAGATTCCCAAACTGAGAAACAAGGCTGCTTCCGGTCCGCCTGCCCCTTCCAGCTAGTGACTTCCTGCTACTTCACTTCTCTGAGACTCCCATGTCTTTTTCGGTATAAAAAAGGGAAGAGCAGTTTTTCCCTGTGTGAGGGGCAGGGGAGCCCCAAGGGACTGCACCCAGTGTGTTTGATAAACGTTAGTGTTTTTAGTCTGAGAGCTTCAAGCCAGAACAAGGGCCCCAGCGTCACCTGGGTGTGTCCTGTGCTGACTAGTGTCACTGCTGTGGCCGTCCCTCCGTTACGATTATCATCATATTTGCTGTGCACTTCCTATGTGCTGCCCCGCCCCAGTGCGTCCTCTCTGCGTCCCCTATGAAGCAGCCTTGTGTTATCTCCGTTGCCCAGAAAATCAAGGTACAATGAGGGGACACCTTGCTTCCCCAACTGGCAGAGCCCAAAGCCCAAATCTGGGCATATCCATTGCCAAGATGGCTTTGGGGACCCCACCCCACGGTCAGTTACCTATGCTGGGCTGGGCTGGCTCTGCGGGAACCAGGCCATGAGGGTCACCCCCGCCCAAGCACCAGGTGGCAGGGGCCACAAGAGAGACTTTCGACTCCTTCTGCATTTGGTAGAGGACACGGTTGAGCTCCTGCTTGGGCACTTGGCATTCCTTCACGAGCTGCGGCGTGCGCACGGTGGAGCTGGCCTTCCTCAGCGCCTGCAGGATCTTCTGCTCCAGCTGGCCTGGGCAGGGAGGGGAGGGAAGTACTGAGGCCCTGCGGCCCTGCGGTCTAGCCGGACAGAAGGCCCCGGAGGCCTCCTCTACAGACAGGTCCCGAGCGGAGGACGTGGACAGAGATGGCAGACATCCACGGTCTCAGCAAGGACAGCAGCCTCTGTCTGGACAGACAAAGCCCTGGGCCACTCGGAACTGACCTTGGCCAGAGAGCCTGGCGGCCTTCCCCAGGTGCTGCCCAGGCAGGTGGGAAGCTCAGCGCTCCGAGGGCCTCAGAACAGGGGACCAGAGGGAGGGAGGACGGCACAGGCGGGAGGAAGAGGGGCCCAGAGGGGGCGGGCAGAAGGGAGCCAAGCCCGGGCTCCCTGCTGGGCTCTCTGGCACCCTTAGCATCCTCCTTCCGGGCCACCATCCACAATGACGGTGTCACTGCTCATCCAGGCCGGAAACCCCGCAGACACTCCAACGCCCAGCCACGGAGCCCTGGCAATGCCACCCTTGGACTTCTGTCAGGCCCCTACTTCTCTGTCCCCACCCCTGAACCCTGTCACCATTTCCCAGTGACAGCGATCGTCTCCAGCTGCAGCTCCAGCTCCAGCTCCAGCTCCAGCTGGGTTCCTTCCAGGCCCTCTCCACCCTGCACCGAGAAGCAGCTCTGCCCTCGGCCGGCCCCGCCCAAACGCCCCTCCCTCCGAGCACCAGCCCAGCCCTGCCCCGGCCCCGCCCACCACACGGGTGCACGCCCTTCCCGCCCGCCCTCCGGAGCAGTGGTCCCCTCCACCTCCTCGGCGTCCATTCTGATCTCACTCAGATGCCATCTCCTTCGGGGGCCGTCCACCAGGTGCCCTCATGCGCGGGTGTGGCTTGTGTGGGGGTCCCCTGCAGACTGATCACCAGGAGCCCCTGCTGCGTTTGCCTGCTTCCCATACCTTTGGATGTGTACACTGTAGGTGCTTAGGAAGCGGCCTTTGAAGGAGGGAGTGACTGGGTGAATAAATGAATGAACGAATGGGTTTGTTCTCTGCTCGGACACGTGTTGTCCAGTTGACCTGGGCAGCTGCTTCGTGGTCTGGGCGTGAGGATCCCTGAGCAGGGCCTCGAACGGTCCCAAAGAAACTTTTCCAAATAGTCCCTTCTGCCCTTGGGATGAGCTCCCAAAAATCAAGGCATCACTTCACACTAAGGAAAATAAAGCCAGGTGCTTCCGTAGGAGGCAGAGTGCGGACCCCAGCATGGACAGGTGGGCCCTGGGGACTGGCGGCTGGGGAGAGCCGTGTCACAGCAGCCTCTGCCCCCAAACTCTCAGGGCAGTGCAAGGCAGGGTTTGTCTTGGGGCTTCCTGGGCCTCATCCAGGGCGGTGACCCCTCCTTTGCCGCTGGGTCTGCTCTGACTGGTGGGTTTGGCTGGCTTTGATTCTGCTCGGCAGCAGGGGCACGCAGCGGGAAGCTGATGAGTTTGCCACAGCCCCACGGGTCAGACGGTCCCCTCCATGCTGGGCCGGTGGGAGTGCCCACCTCGTCACCCGCCCGGGTTACCCCAGCAGCCCCTGCCCCTAGCTTTGCCTTGCCTTGCAGGAAGTGTGAATTCGTGCAAAGCCTGACCCACACTGGGCCTGCTCCCTCTCTCCTCTCCTCCACTGACCCCAAAGGGCTGGTGTGGGCAGAGAGGGGCATGAAGGACAAGCCCAAGGGGGCACTGGGTCTGGTGCAGGTGACACGCAGGCGAGAAGGACAGTCACCTGGGCAGCAAGGCAGGAAAAACCTGGTACCGCGGAAAAACCAGGTAAGATGGGGCCAGGGTAAGACGCTGGCCACCCCTAAGATACACAGAACCTGTCACCAGCCAGGCCTGTTGGCCATACCCTGAAGCCACCCCTGCCTGGGCACTGTCTCTTCCTCCTTTGCAGTCTCTGGTGGTGTTCCGGGGATTGAGCCTCAGCTCTGCCAACTACTAGCTGTACCGACTCCCCTTGCCTTAGTTTCCCCATCTGTGACATGAAGGTAATAGCAACGACTTCAGGGGCTGTGGTGAGGCCTGAAAGAGTTCACAGTAAACAGCAGAACAAAAGCAGCAAAGTACAAAACTGTCCACAGGCCAGGAGCACTTAACGGCACCCCCGGAGAGAGGCAGTTGCTTCGTTCCAGGCTGCGTCTCCTTTTCTTGTGACTTCCGGAGTGAACTGCTCGCAGAGGACAGGAAGCCACGAGGGTGAAAGACGGGTTTGCTCTCGGTTTATCAAGGAGCAACCTGCACTCTCACAATGACTGTGCAGCCCTGGAGCACACTGCTCACCAGCTGTGACACCTGAGTCATTTCAGCCGCCCGGCCTCAGTTATGTCATCTGTGAAATGGGGACACCAGTGCCCTGGCGGCTGAGAACGACTACGACACGCATGTCACATGCCCTTCCAAATGAGGCCACTGTGCCACCCTCCGCCTCCTGAGCATTGCTGTTCTGTAGGGGGTGACTGGGAAAGAAGGGGACCCCCACCGGGAAACTCCCCCCACACGGCCGAAGGAAGACGTCCCTTACCTCCTGCGCTGGGCTCAGCAGGGGCCTCAGCCATGCTGATAGTAGTGGCAAGGGGCCCTGGGGGTGGCAGCCGGTCTCTGCACTGTGGCCTTGGGAAGGTGACCAGGGATGAGGGGACCGAGCTTTGCACCTCCGGCACCTCTCAACCCAGAAGGGAAGGCAGCCCAGCTTCGGCCGGGCGGGTATCAGCTGCTCACAACCTGGAAAGACAGCCAGTCTCCAGACTCCACCAGCTCTCTTGGGAAACGGAAGTGAAACTTACAGACAGTTTTTGAGAGAAACAAAAATGAAAGCAGAATGGAAGAGCAAGACAGCTTCAGAGGCTCCAGCGTGACTTGGCAGGGAGGAGCTGCCCTTGGTTTTCCTCTACCTTCCCAGCATCCTTTACCGTCCACCCGGATTCCCGCAAAGGACAGGCGGGTGCCACCACCCTTCCTGGGGGCACCGAGAGGACGCTATGCTGGAATGAGCACCTACTATGTGCTTCTCAGCGGTACACTCCCTCCTCGGACCATCTGCAAGCCAGTACCATCCTCCTTTCTCAGAGGGGAAACTGAGGCTCGTGTCTGTGAAGCCATTGCCTGATCTGTAACATCCAGATCTGTAAATCCCCTCAGTTCCCAGCATGTCCTCAGCTTCCTGGTAGAGCTGCTTTGTGATTTCACAATCCTGTATCAGAAATGTGCCTTCCAAGGGCCCCGAGGCTCCCTAACGCCTGAGCCAAGCAGCCAGAGCCAGCTTGTGTGATTTCAGACCTACACCCACAATTGTCCTGTGCAAGTTACTCAGCCTGCGAGCCTCTGCCTCCTCATCTGTAAACGGGTTAAGGAAAAGACTCACCGCATGGGGTGGTGATGAGGACCAAGGGGTTTCATGCAGCTGGGCGGTGTGGCCGGGTCCCTGTGCCATCTTGTTGGGAGCACAACGGGAACCACGTGCACGCTTCCAGGGACAGGACCATCGCCTCCATAGGTTCTCAAAGGAGCCAGCGGCCCCCGGAGAGCTCGGCACCGGCTTTCTCTCCCCCAGTGCACAAGGGGAGACGAGGCAGGAAGGCTTGTGGCCCCACCTGAGCCTCGAAAGTCCCTGTGTTCTAAGAGGCTGGGGCGCCACACAGAGGCTGGCCAGCAGGGGGCGCGCGCTCACCAACCGGGCTCAGCCAGCCGCGCTTGGGCCGCTCATTTTTTGCGGGGAAGGACCAGGACTCTGAGGGTCACAGCTGGAGACACGCCCGCCACCCGCTGTCTCCCTCATCCCCCTGCCTCGATTATGTCTGCCCTCCCTTAGAGGACGTCTCCATCATTGCACTCTCCTTTTCTGGAAGAGCTTGCGGCCCTTCTGAGGCTGACGGCCCTGATCAGTTCTGGGTGCTCAGCCCCCTGCGCCTCCCCGGGTGCCCTGTCCACAGCCCCCGACTGCGGCTAGGACCCTCCGCCTCCGCGCCCAGCCCTCGCCAGCTCCTCCCCCACTTCCAGCCTCAGGACCCTGGCTCCACCCCTGCTTGTGCCCACCCGGGTGAGAAGGCCGAGGGCTGGCCACAGAGCTGGGTGGTAGGAGACCAGGCGCGAGGACTTGGTTTGACCCCCGGGGCCAGCGCTGCTTCTAGAAAGATCAGCTGTGCTGCGTGGGAGAGGCAGGGCTGCCTATGGCCAGTGCCCATCTACCGGGACAGTGTCTGGGTGTCTTCTCTTGTCGCGGTGTCCCTGTCCTGAGGCCGCTCTAGTTGTCCCCAGGAACCAGCAGCAAAAGTCACTGTGCCAGGGGCTGCCTGGTACCCTAGTAGTTGCCCTGGGAACAGGATTCTGTCTGACTCTCTCCCCAAAGCAGTTTGTCCCTGCAACCCTGCTCCACCCTTGCCGTAGTTGGACACCTCCCTAAGCCTCATTTTCTTCAGCTATAAAATGGACAGAATCTTTGAGCAAGAGCGTTTTTATCCAGTGTTGAGTGTGAGCTCTCAAAATCCGAATAAGTCATGAAAGATGGGTCTCTGCCCACCGACCGTGGGGCCGGCTAACTGTAGACCCTGGACAAAAGCAAATGAAAGAGCAAGAGAGAAAGAAAATGAAAATACAAAAAACGAAAAACAGCATCGAATGTGGGTGGAGCCCACCTTTCACTGCATTTCACACACAGCTGGAGTTGGGGCCCAGATTCTGCTGTGAATATCTCACCACACTGAACAGAAGCCTTACTTTTAAAGGCATGGGTTATCGTGTATTCTTCCTTTCAGTTTAAGAAATTAGCTTTGGCTGTGAAGATTGTCATTAAGCTTGAACAGTAGGGGCTCACACTGCACAGATATGCTTTTCTGTTTCCGGTTATCAGTGTGATATGCAGCCTGATTTGCTCTGCACCCAAGGTCCTTTTATCTTGTTGCTCTGCCATTTGTGGCCTCCATCCTCCAGTTGGTCTTAAATTCTAGAATGGCTGCTGGAGCTCCAACCGCGCCATCTGCATTCCCTCCAGCAGGAAGGAATAAAGGGAAGAAGGGCAGGTGTCTCTCTTTTAAGAATGCATCTTGCAAGTTGCACATACTTTCCACCAGTATCCCTCTGTCAGACTTTATTCCCATGGCTCTTACTTGCAAGGGAGTCTGGGAAAATGGTCAGTGTTCTGCACCATTAGATGCCCAGCTAAAACTGGGTTCCCACTGCCTCTAAATTGCTAACAACAGGTATCGGCAGAGACCCAGCTGTCCTTCCCCAAGGCAGGAGCAAGGACACCTCAGCTCACGAGTGCAGCTGTGCCCTGAGCCTCTGTAGCTAGCAAGGTCTGCGCTGCCTGACTGAGGTGAGTTCCAGGCCAGCTTCTGCATCCTCGAGCATCCGGTGTCCCCCACAGGAAGCCGCAGAGGGAGGGAGGCACGGAGGGAGGTGGGGAGGCCAGGGTCTCCGCCCTCAGCCTGGGAAGAACCTCGAAAGCCCAAGACTTCAAGATGGTGCCACGGCCCTCTGAGCCCGGCCCCTTCTTGCTTTGGAGAGCGCTCTGATTTTCCATGGCTTGTGTTTTTCTGGAAACTATTAGAACTCTCCACCCAAAGCAGATGATAATTACATGTTACCGATCTCGAATCTTTCAGTTCTTCTCTCTCTCTCTTGTTTAAAAGAGAGATATTTTTACTGCACAATGTGTTGGCAAAACCCAAGTCTCCTCTGTACCAGGAGTCTGATGTTATTTTCAGATTTTTCTCCTGCGAGTCTGCCTCGGTGGGAGGAGGTAGAAGGGCACTAAGTGTAGGTATGGAGACGTCTCTGGTCAGGGGTAAAGGTTGGCCACCCGAAGGGCTTGGAGGGGGTGGCAGTGGCCTTCCATCTCCTGAGCTCTGCCCAGAGCCAGGAGCAGAGATCTAGCTGGACTGGCGGGTGCAGGATGGCGAGCTGTCCCTTGCAGGCCAGGAGCGGCCCTGGCTCTGCCCTGTGCTGGTGGTTGGGCCCCCTGGGTGCCCCACGGTGCTCCTGGCAGAGCCACTTCTTAGCTCTGAGCCTTGAGCAAGTCGTGTTCTTTCTGAGCCTCAGTGTCCCCACAGAAAGTCTCCCAGCAGCCCTTCTGGAAATACAGGAAGATCTCCTTGCTGCATGGTGGTGCTTGGAAAGGTGGCCCTGGCTGCTGGGAGAACAGTTGGAAGGAAGCGCGCAGGGGGAAAGAAGGTGGCTACTTGGTGGATCAGTGTCCAGGGGAGGGGCCTGTCCTCACTCCCTCTCTCCCCTCCCCAACTTTTTTTAGAACTCCTCCCCCACATCCCAGCGACTGCCCTGAAATGAATTCATGTCTGACTTTCAGTTTTATAATTGAAAGATTTTTTTAGAATGATTTTGCTTCCCAAATTATTTGCCTATAAGACATTCATTTAATTACAACTGGCCACCATCTCCCCACCGAGCATTATTCTTGGGAATTCTTATGAAATGAGAAGATTTCACCTATAAATTCTCTTCAAGTGCACTGAGGGTAATGAAATTTTTATGACAACTGAATGGAACACTTAATGAACGTGATATAATGTCGGGTTTTCTGGGTGTTTAATTAAACATTAATTGATTTCGATTTTGTGGTGAGTTTTGCTCCCCTTCATATTTTGGAACTCAGTTGACTAGGAAGGTTCTGGAAGCATCAGTCTGAGGCTGGAGGGAGCGGAGAGCCTCACCTCAAAGATGGGGACCTGGCCTTATAGGGCAGAGAGCTGAAGGAACGAGGGTGCTGAGGGTGTGGGTTGGAAGACAGTGAACCTGGATATTTCCATGTTGACTTGTAGTGTCTCCTCATGCAGAGAGGGTTCCCACTGTTAGGGTGCAGCTCTCGTGTGTTCAGGGTTTGGTCTCCAGTGCAGCATGTTCAATGTGGGGCTGTGGGAAGTGACTGGTCATGAGGGCTCTGATCTCATCGATGGGTTGATGGGTTCATAACTGAACGGACTGTGGGGAAGTGGTGAAAACCGCGGTGATGGGGCGTGGCTGGAGGCAGTAAGTCACCGGGAGCCTGCCCTGGAAGAACGTGCCTTGTCCTGTGCCTCTTTCTCCCTCTCCCTCTCTCTGCTTCCTTCCTACCATGAGGTGAGCAGCCTTTTCCCCAGAGGCTCCTGCTGCTGTGATGTTCTGCCGCACCTCAGGTGCAGAACAGGGGAATCGGTGACCATGGACTGATACCTACGAGACCGTGAGCCAAAGTGAATCTTTGCTCCTTTGTTTTCCTTGGGTATCTTTGTCACAGTGATGGCAAGCTGACTAACATGCCTACTTAGAAATTCAACCCAGAGGCGTTCCCTCAAAGACTTGGTAAATGGCAGCAGCTTACATTTACTTAGAAGAATCTCTGTGTCTGATTTCTGTCCCTTTCATTGTTTCCTTGAATTCCCACAGCAATCCTATGCGGTAGGGAATGAACACAAAACCTGCATTTTACAGATGAGAAAATAGACCCAGAGGGTTGTGGAGCAAACTGGTCAGAATCACAGGGCTGGAAAGTGACAGACATGAGCTTCAAAGCCACCGGGCACCAACACCAAACATTTAGCAGTGGTTGCACAGCTGTGAACCAGGATGGCATCATTGCAGCTCTGCATAGAACAGTAACGGAACTCTCTCTCCTGAACGCCACTGCCTTGTGGGGCTCAGGAGCTCAGTGGGAACAGCCCCTATGGTCCCACTGCTTTCTGAGGTTCTGGAGCCAAGTGTAGGCAGGGGCACCAAAAGGGCTGAGTTCTCAGAAGTACAGAAAGCCAGCTGGTTAGAAGAAGAGAGGTT